TAGGTACAAGGCCCATATAAATGGGCAAAAACCCCTCATAATATCCCTATCTAAAGGATAGACAAGTGTGTGTTATACCCTCCCTAATCATAGGCATTTTGAGAAACCTGAATTCTGAAGGGGAAAATTGGATAGAAACTGTGATCTTGAGAGAACTAATGAAAGCCTCATACATGTAATTTTTGCAGTCACAAAAATCAAACAGTAAACATTACATAAAGAGAATATCAGTGATATAAAAACATACATATTTTAAACTTGTAATAATGCATAAATATCATTCATTCCCATTTACCATCCCTTGCTTGTTAGAAGCTAAAAAAATTTCCTTTTTTCCTCAGTTTCAATAAGAACATGGTATATTTGTTTTGTTGTATTACAGATAACATGTTTATTAAGGGGTTTGTCTTTTTGGTATATTCCTCTGTGCAAATGTTTTATGCTGTTATGATTTTATGACACAAATTATTGACTGTTATCTCTGAAGTTCCACTGTGTCTCTTGGGATATTTGAAATGGAAAAAATTTGTTTAACCCAGTTTACTGTAGTAGTATTTCTCATATTCCTCTCTAATTCTCCAAGTTATATAGTCTTGATCCAGACTAGAACCAGTATATATTAGTGTGCTTCAGAATCACACGAGTGAAAGCTGTCACCTCTCCATCAACTTAGTTGCCTCTACACTAACAATTATTGGTAGGCAGTTTTGAGCCTATGTTTCTTTTGCTTCAGCTTCCTTCATTTTTCTTTTTTTTTTCTTTTTTTTAATTTTTATTTTATTTTATTTTTTTAGTTTTATTGCTTAAAGTATTACAAAGGGTATTACATATGTCTCCTTTTTTCCCCCACCCTTGACAATCCCATGGCCTCCCCTACCCCCCAGTGTTCCTTCATTTTTCTTAAAGCTGTACTTCAAAGGAAAACTATGCTTGGGCTTCTGCTTGATCTATTTCCTCTTCTCAATTCCCACTCCTCTGCCCTTTTTTTCTAATCATATCCAACAGAAGTGACTTGAAATCCCTGCATTATTCAAAACTGAAGTTCTTGTGATGGAGGAAGCAAGTATATAGAATTATGTTCAAATGTGCCTAGAATTCATCATCACAATGTGATAAGTACAATAATAGGAGCATGTGCAAAATACAGGGAGCAATGTCTCAGTTATAGGAAAATATATTTTAAAACATGATATTTGAAAAGAAAGAGGTGAGCAGTTTACTTTTGTGCAGACAGGGTAATGGGTATGAAATCAGATCCCTGTCCTACAAATGCTTTACATTTTGATTTAAGTCATTGCATTTAGGACATACTATATATGTATAATCTACGCTAAACTATAAGCCCTATATGGGAAACAGAGATAATCAAGATTTGCTCTCAAGCTGAAATCCAGTGACTGGAGCTAGATAGTATGTTATTGACCAAGTTTTTATATCTATTTATAGCCTAATAGCATTTTGTGAATAGCTGCTCAAGACTACATCAGAGATAGGTGGTAGAATCAGAACTTGAACCCATGCCTTCCTACTCCATAGCTTGGGCTTTCTTTTTTTTAAATTTAGTTTTCACTTTTATCAAGATTTTACATGCCCATAATTTAAAGAGATATAGTTATCCAAAAGTGTTTCATAAGCTGAAATCAGAGTGTCATCCAGGACTGAGGACTCATCTGAAGGCTCAACTAGGAAAGGATTTCTTCTAAGCCTATTTGTTTGTTGGCAGAATTTCAGTTCCCTGAGGACTGTTGAACTGAGAATCTCAATTTCTAGCTAGCTGTTAGCTAGAGGCTGTCCTCGTTTATGTATATTTTTTAAAGTCACTTGGGCCTCTCTCTACATAGCAAACATAATGCCTGTCACAGAAGAGGTACACAAATATATTATTAGCTGAATAAACAAATGGATAAGTAAATGACTATGGAGGAAACAGAAGGGTTCAAAGAAGCAAAAAAATGACTAAAATATGAATAGTTGAATATGACAGATTTTTTAAAATGGAACTTCATAGTTTTAACTGCTTTCTTAACGCTATTTGTGTGGTCTTTCTCCTTAGGATGAACATTCTAATGTTACCTGCTCTGCTGTCAAAGTGGAATTCACTTTGTTAACACAGAACAGAAACTTTTCCAAGTTTCCCTAATTTATATCATATTCTGAGGTCCCAGTTACTATGGTAGCTACAAAGAAGCAAATACAAAAGGTGGGGCCTGAGAGTGAGGGGAATGTGACTGAAGTGCACCAAAACTGAAAAGTGGACTTGGAAATTACTGTTCCCGGGACATTTGGGTTTTTGTGGGCCTAAGGACTTGGATAGGCTAAGCACTCCAAATTATATCCAAAAATAATATCTCTGTGTTTCTTTTTAAAATATTGGTTCATGGTCAGACCTTTGCAGACTTTGTTATGTTCTCAAGTTTCCATGTAATGGATGAATGAGTGAATTGATATATGTCAAAGCTGCTGTATAGCATTTGAAATTCTCTGCAGTTTTTAGCTTTGGTTGAAAGTCTCTGTAAAACTTGCCTTCAGCCCTAACCGGTTTGGCTCAGTGGATAGAGCGCCGGCCTGTGGACTGAAGGGTCCCAGGTTCGATTCCGGTCAAGGGCATGTACCTTGGTTATGGGCACATCCCCAGGAGGAGGTGTGCAGGAGGCAGCTGATCGATGTTTCTCTCATCGATGTTTCTAACTCTCTATCCCTCTCCCTTCCTCTCTGTAAAAAATCAATAAAATATATTTTTTTAAAAAACTTGCCTTCAAATTGGCATTATTTACCCTTCCTTCTTTGGAGTTCACTAATCTTAGATATTGAAAAAAAACACATAACTTTTAATGGTAGCTTCTCCCTATTCAGATTCAGACACTACATATGATAAGATGACCGGACACCATCTGAAGAAATGAATGCTTTAGCCACTGAGCTAAACACATTATACACTTGAGTAATGCATTTGGTTCTTAGTATAGAAACAGCTTAAACTGACAGGGAAGCATGTTTAATCATATGGTAGTCATTGCCTGTCAATAGGAGGCAGATAATTCATCTTTAAAGATAAAAATATTTCCTCGAGTTCAACTTTCACTTTCTCCTTGGTGTTAAATCATTGCTTTATGTGATTTTTGTGAGGATCAAATGAAAGCATCTATTAACTTATTTAGTCCTTATTACCCTCATTTTACAACTGAAACTGAGAAACAGAGAGGTTTAGTATCTTGCTCAAAGACATACAAATAGTAAGTGGTATTCATACTCAAGTGGTGTGGCTTCAAAGGCTCCCTTAACTATATGTTATGCTGCCTCTATTTGAAAATGCTTTTGCAAGCTTTAGATAGATACTATCCAGATCTTAGCAGATTTTGTTAAGTGTCCAATACTGTACTGGGTTTATATTTAAAGGAATCCTAAGCCTGCACTTGAAGAGCTTATAATGTGGTTGGGGTGAAGAAATGTAACACAGAAAACAGCAATAATAGGGCAGCCTGTAAAATCACCATCTACCAGATAACTCTGTACATTTAATAAATATGTACCTTATTTTATTTGAATGCTCCCATACACAGCATAAAATCTAGTGCATAGTAGACATAGAGTTAATGTTGGTTGAATGTGGATGTCCTTAAGTAATGTTATTCCCATTTTCACAGTGAGCAGACCTAGCTGATTATTTCAAAGAAAGAATTTCTTGTATTTTCTTTTTGTGCCAGGCGGTGGGCTTGTGGTTAATCCACTTAGGTGGTTAAGCAGTATCGTGACTGCCCCTCTTTTTAAAAAACTTTTTTATCTACTTATTTTTTACAAATAAAAATTATATATATTTGCCAAACCGGTTTGGCTCAGTGGATAGAGCATCGGCCTGCGGACTGAAAGGTCCCAGGTTCGATTCCGGTCAAGGGCATGTACCTTGGTTGTGGGCACATCCCCAGTGGGAGGTGTGCAGGAGGCAGCTGGTCGATGTTTCTCTCTCTTCAATGTTTCTAACTCTCTATCCCTCTCCCTTCCTCTCTGTAAAAAAATCAATAAAATATATTTTAAAAAAAATTATATATATTTAAGGTTTACAAGGTGATATTTTGGTATATGTAGATACTGTGAAGTGATTACCACAATCAAACTAATTAACATATCCACCACCACCTTCACTTTTTATTTTTTTAATAATTTCAAATTTACAAATGGTTACAAGAATAGTATAAAGAACTTATATATCTTTTTTAAAATATATTTTTATTGATTTCAGAGAGGAAGGGAGAGGGTGAGAGGGAGATAGAAACATCAATGATGAAAGAGAATCATTGACCGACTGCCTCCTGCACGCCCCACACTGGGGATCGAGCCCACAACCCAGGCATGTGCCCTTGAACCAGGGAATCGAACAGGGGACTTTCAGTCCGC